AAAGCTACAGAAATAAGAAATTAATTTAGGGTTTTTCTTGTGAATGCTATAACTTTGCAAAGAAAAGTCTTATAAAGCTGGGAGACGGCTCATTTTAATCAGAAGTTTGCGGGCTATAATCATGCCTTATTAAGAAAGGTTCGAGTTATATTTTAGAGTTTCTGGAAAACTGGTTTTCGAGAAAACCAGGTCTTCGAAGGGCTAAGGCCAATTCCCATGATCATATTCGTAATCAGCATGGTCGATAACCTATAACCCACTAGATTCCAAGCAAAAAGCGTTTAATCACCTCGAAAGGTTCTCTCATCAGCTGCAGGTCTGTGGATTGAGACTAAGATATTGGATATTTCGGAGGGAGTGTCTGCGTTTCCAGGAAACTGATGTGAACTTTGAACGTACAATTTGTGCAGCATTTGTAAAAAGTGTTAATCACTTTTGCTGTGTTGATTGATCATTTTGCATGCTGTTTAGATTCGAGAAGAAGTTCCTTTAACACCTGAAATTATTGCACAATCATTGTCATTATTAGCAAAAACTGGAAAGTAAGTTTCTCTTGTATTACAATCTACCGCATAATTAATTAAAATGATATTGTTCTAGTGGTTTGTCCCACGCCTATGTTCGACTTGAAGCATCGAATAAGTAAAATTTGAATATATCATCGCCGATTTCTTATTGTTTAAGATGCGTATCTGTTTTTTGTAGAAATCTTACAGATATCAGTCGGTTAGAAACATTTGTGCATCTACGTCTTATCGATTTATCTAATAATCGATTACGAAATGTATCGTCATTACAACCCCTAAAATTTGTATTAACGTTAAAACTCGATTTTAATGAGTTGTCAATATTCGATCTGCCACCATTTCCCTATTTACAGACATTGAGTCTTAGTAATAATCGTCTACAAACCATAGCTGGAATTGAACATCACTGCTTAGAATCACTTAATCTTAATCGTGAGTTGTGTTTAAAAATAAAACATTATCATTTCTAATGACAAAAATGATTTGGTGTTAGTTTAGATAATAAAATTGTCAGTTGTACGGGACTTGACGAAAGTAGACTACCAAATTTAACCACGCTTGAATTAAGAGAAAATCATATTCATACAACGAAAGGCATTTCGTTACCGAATCTAAAAAGTCTATTTGCGGTAAACTAAAGAATAACGAGAATGAAAATAACGCTGTATGTGGCTTTTTCTTTTAAAGGCAGCAAATAACATATCAAAATTAGAAGATATTGAAAAACTGACCCGTTTAACCACGTTACATCTTCGGGATAATAAAATATCAAATCTGGATGGTTTTAGTTCAGATATGAAACAACTGCAGTATATTAATTTAAAGTAAATAAGTTAAAAATAAACAAAGAATCTTTTATTATCTGTTAAAAAAATAAATGACCCATGGAATTTTGAATGGTGCTAACTAGAGAGACGGAGCTTTTAGATCTGAAAAGAGAACCTTAAGAAGCACCCTTTTATAAGCGAAAACGTTTATAGAGAGTTTTTCAAAGATCGGTTTTTCGAGGAATATCTGAAAAGCTCTTGCATAATAGAAAAATTTAAAATACCAAGCTATTGATTTTTTTATATCAGTAGATAAATGAAAGTGTCCTCTTCAAAATGCAAACGAAGTGACCTCTTAACCTTTCGTGGTTGAGGTGTGGCATCGGATTTACTGAGAGCACCAGGATCGATATTCGCTTAGGTGTGGCAATCCCGAAAATGAATGGAAATATAGGTTATCGATCACGCTGAGTCTTGTGACAGCACTTGTTTTTCGAAAAACATTCAAAAACTAGTGAAAATCTATACTAGGTGCAATAACCCATTCATACTACACTCATATATGGGATCTCATTGAGCCAATCATCAGATTTTTGACTTTTTTGG